CTTAGATGCGCGTATATAAGGCCGGCTTCACTGAACAATTGATTACTATAAATACTGGCGATTGGGGCGCGCAACTATTTGCGAGCCAGATCCGTCAATTTTAGTTTAATTTTCCATCTATTGAGAAGGTTTTTATTGAGAGGGGCTCGTTTTTCTTTAAGATATGCCTTTAAAACGGACAGACAGGCGGATATGGCTAAATCTACTCAGCTTGACGTTTTAATCATTTTGGCATACATTTTCATGGGTATATCTCTTCTTCTTCTGGTACGTACATCGGACCAAAGTTAAAATATATATTTATGTTCACGAAAGGTATAAAAACGATTGGTTTAAAGTCTAAACGCTACTAGTTTACAAGTAGTTTTATGTTAATAAGTAAGAAGGTTTTTTAGTGACCAAGAAGTATCATGCCAAACTTGAGGAGAAGGTAGATGGTTAGCTCCCTGATAAACAAAACATTTTCAGGTAAAAGTGTCACCATTTTTGAAATATTGACCTTATTTGAATTAAAAAAATCGGGCCTTTTCATGCTTTTCTTTAACTGCGTGTACAATCAAAGGTTATTTTTTCTGTAAAATACTTCCAAAGTACAGGGGTACATTATTACCTGCTGCTGACACTATTTTATGATACCTAAAAAAAATAAACAAAAAAGACGGTAACACTTTTAGCTGAGAAATGTTTGCTTATCAGGGAGCGCTCAAGAAATTTAACATTTTTGGAATATCTCTGCTTACATATGCTTATGGTCGAAATCTTAATGCGGGTTAATTGATTATCTACATATATGTATTATAGCTCAGCGTTGGTCGCGGGCTCTAAAATATTATTGTCTTGCTATACACTAGAGTAATTTGTAAATTTAAACATTTAATCGCATCGCTGGTTATCTAATTTCAGAGTTATTTCCTGACCTTGAACCTAGTATAAATGCAGCGTTACCAAGTATCGCTATTTAAAAGAACCAACCGGCTAAAACCAAGCTACCAAAATGGCCAACGATAATGGTTTCGTTAATCTTGCATACGCGTCAACTTCAACAAATACCTCAACAGCCTCCATACCGGGCGAGTATAGAGCGAAACTCGAACTACAAAATAATGAATACAATGGCAAAATTGCAGTATCCACATCCAGTGGCAACACAGTGACCGCGAAACAGGTATTACATACGTACTTACTACACATATTGTAAATGCATTTGAGTTAATTGACTTCGTTTTAAAATTTGTATTAAAATTGACCATCACACTTGACGCTACCATGTGAAAACAGCTAAGAGGAATTCTCAACCAGTGTTGCCAGGTCTTCGGAATGAGAAAACGTCCCTCTTGGTCTAAAAAAACGTAATTTTCTACCCAAACACGTATTTTTCAAAAGCATGCACAAACTTTTATTGTATACAAAGGTACATAAGTATGTACATATGTAAGGTATATTAAAATGTCATTTCTACAGAGCACATCTACAATTTATTGTAAACTGGTTTGAGATCGTTAATATAAAGATTATTTTATACATACACTTGTGATCAGCTGGTTCAGTCATCAACATTTTGATCGATTATAGCTCTTTTTATTTTGTTTAATTAATGTTTATTGTTTTTCCATAAAACCCTAGCTCATTATATAACAAACTAAATATAAATCCCCATTTCAAACTTTGTGCAAAAATTATAAAAAAATCTGCAAAGTATCAGCTAGATTTTCAACTTTTTATTAAGATTTTTAAGAATTTTTTTGAGTATTCAGCTTGATATCCTATTAAATTCCAGGATAATAATGTGCAGGTTATAAGTTGCTAAAGAATCGCGTTGATTTTTAATAATTTTTTTTTTCTTGTAGACATTTGGTTATGTGGTCGGTTGTCGAAAATGCTAATGAGGTTCTGCTAAGAAGGAACATAGCAATATTTCAGCCTTTTCTGCGTTCATTACATTTTCAATGAAGTCTTAAAAAGTCCCCTACTTTTTTCTGACTTTTTATGCTGCTACAGTTTTTTTGGTGCTTTTGCGAGCGGGCGTGTTGCAATAGATCAGCTCTTCCTGATTTGGCTTTTAATGTGTAATTGCAAACATTACAATTAGTCTCTTAACCTCAAGTGTTCACAATACCAGCCAAGAATCCAAAAAAATGCTCGTACGCTTGATTTGCATCATATTTAAGTCATCTGTGTCCAAAAAATAAAAAATTAAAAAAATAATTCAAAATAAGTTCTACACTGAGAAAAAAAAACGCGTTGTAAGAATAAAAAATTTTTATTTGATTACCGTTTAAAAATGTTCGTTTTTAAATCAAGTGAAAATTCTTAACAAAACGGATTTTTTCATTATACATACACTACGTATAATGGAAATATTCAAATCAAATAGGCCCGTATTGAAATGAAGCATTTTCACTGCACGGATTCTTTTTCATATGTAATTAAGAAAGCATATGTATACAAAGCATCAGACGGAACATAAAATTAAATTTTTTTCTTCTTAATTTTAATTTCGTATAACGAAAAAGCTTCTGTGCACTTCGCAACGATATACTTTATAACGAACATTCTCAAATTTAAAACGAGTTGGGTTGGTGCTCGTTCATATGCGTATTTTTTTAAATTTAGCACGTTTTTTTTTAATTCTAAAATTATTTTCCCTCAGTGTACCTAAAAGATTTAGTAACAGAGAAAAATTATTGAGAAGTTAAAAAACGTAATTTTTTACACAAAAAACGTCCGAACGTCAACAGGATACAAAAAACGTCCAAATGACGTTTCTAACAGCTTAACGGAATCGCACACGATATAGTCATAACTAGTGCATTAGTACTACATAAATCATTTAAGTCATATATGTCTATTGGTCGGTGCACATGATAGCTTGAGTAACAATTGAAATATCTAAACGATCCTCGGAACACGTGTTACCCTCGGCCAAAGTTAAGGTGGCATACAGTGATTGACCATTTTGCATATCTGAAAACTACGTAGTGGGGTACCTCTTAAATCCACATAAAACTCTACCTAAGCGCAAACCTGACAATGCTAAAAAAAAAGGAACATTCCAGCGCTTTCGTCTTGGTCTGCAGGCTGTATCGGTAAATTTAAAAGTAGAATACGTGGTATGGTTAAGAGCATATCCAAATCAAATACGAAAGCACACACTAAGAAAAAATATCGATAACAAAAGCAATAATAATATCGATACCAAAATCGATAAAAACATCGATAAAAAATCAATGAAAATATCGATATCAGAATCGATAATAATATCGATAACAAAATCGATAAAAATATCGATAAAAAATCGATAACTTAGTAATTTACAAAGTCGATAACAAAATCGATAACAAATCAACATAAATATTAACATCAAAAGCGAAAACAACATCGATAGCAAAATCGATAAAAGTATCGATAATAAAACCGATAAAAATATCGATAACAAAAGCGATAACAATTCGATTAAAAATATCGGTAACAGAACCGATAAAAATATTAATGACAAAATCGATAAAAATAACGACAACAAAATCGATAGCAAAATCGATAACAAAATCGATAAAATATCGATATCAAGATCGATAACGAAACTGATAAAAATATCGATAACAACATCGATAAAAACAATGATAACAAAATCGATAACGAAATCGATAAAAATATCGATAATAAAATCAATAACAACGTCGAAAACAAAATCGATTACTAAATCGATAAAAAAATCAATCAAAATATCGATAACAAAGTCGATANATATAGACAAATGTATACATAAATGATCAGAATGAAAAGAGAAATCGATTAAGCGGTGACTGTCTGTCGGTCCGTCCGTCCGTCTGTGCACACGATAACTTGAGTAAAAATTGAGATATCTAAACGGAACTTGGTACGTGCACTTCTTTCTGGCGTAGGATAGACGGTATTGAAAATGAGCGAAATCGGATTGTAACCACGCCCACTTCCCATATAACGGTAATTTCCAGAAATACGAAAACTGCGATATTTTAGTAACTACTGAAGATAATTCACTCAAAATTGATATTTACAATAATTTTTAGACGAAAAATAAGAATATTATAAATTTTTGGAAAATGCCACGCCCACTTATGGTTACATGTGTATATCTTGGTTACTGCTGCACCAATTTCTTCCAAACTTGGCACAGTTGTTGGCATACTCACAGCATAAAAAATCGCCGAAACTTTTTAAAATCGGAC